TTTCATTTCCCTTCCATCAGTGAACTGTAACAATCACAGCACATTGTACACCTGTCCTTTGTGCCCCATGGGTCTTTTGTTTCTAAGAAACACAGCAATTGTGATGTTGGGTTGAGGAAGAACACAGCATAATCAGCCCAGCCTGGCCCATGACAAATTATGAAGTAGATATTCCTGGTTTCTCTGTTTTATCATTTGAGGCTCTTCTCTGTTCCACCAGAGTGGTAGAACAATTGGTCAAGACCTAGCTTCCCAAAGGAGCTCTTATCCTAGATTTTGGTGAAAGGTCCTAAGACAAGGAAATGTCCAGTGACCAAAAGAATGAGACACTCTTCCTGGGTAGCCTGATAGATCCCCTTAAAATACGGACACTTTCATGGTGATCCTACTTAAGTCATGAGATGTATCCGTCCAGGATGCCAAGCTCTTGGAGAGATTGACTCACTGACTTATTCATTCAATCATTCAACAAATATTTATTAAGCACCTAGTGAGTATCAGGAATTGTGCTGAGAGGTAGGATTCAGAGATGAAAAATAAACTCCCTCCCTGCCTTCAGGTAGCACTGCCTCAAAAGTAATGCAGTACGGAGTGCAGTTCGGGGCATAAAATTCTGGTAATATAATCTCCCTGGGCCTCAGTTTCCTTGTCGACAATATGTAGATGATAACATTGTCTATCTCCAAGGGTTAATGTGAGAATTAGTTAAGACTTACAAAACACTGGGCCGTGTTGAGTACATGGTGCTTAAAAACATCCTAGAGACTTTTATGCAGTAGAATGACAGCATTGTTTGTTCACTTGTGTATAAATGGATAGAATACCCCAGTTCCACAGATATTAAGTTTCATGTGAAACAGATATTAAGTTTCATGGGAAAAATTCAAGGCCCTTTAGACCCCTAGAGAGTTTAACAGTGAGGTTGAGAGTTTACGAGTGGGTCTTTCTGAAGGTGAGAATAAAAGTTCAGAGCCAGCATACCACATACCTGGGTTACAACTGGTCTTGAGAACTTTCTAGAGTCCCCGACCATCTCCTCTTGTCTCTTCTGACCCAGAAGCCAAGGTCCTTCCTACTGGTCCTGACTTCATGTCTCAGTTAGCTCAGAAACTTCCACTTGGATTATCCCCCAGTACCAGCCTCCTGCCAGAAATAGATCTTTTTTAGGATTGATGAACCTCTCACTGTCAAATGCACAAGTTCAAGCATAGGCATTTTTGCTAAACCAGCCTACTGCTGAGGGCATGTCATCTCCTACGTAAGCAATCAGACACCAGCACACAGATCTCTCAGTGGCATAGCCATAGATTGCCTGCACTGTCAGTTCCATGTGGAAATGGGGAGGTGTTAGCTCTGGAAGGTGGAGTCATCTGTCTGATGCCACACAGTAACACATCTGTGGATTTGAACCAGGTCTCCAATGCCAGAGTTCACACTCTTCACCCCACACTGTGTTGCTTCCAAAAAAATAGTGAAATGATGAGAACCAGGCTTTTGGGCAGGAGCAGAGGATGTCACCTAAATTTATAGTTTGAGTGCCTTTGGGAGGCTCCTTGGAACTCCAAATAGTTCTCTCACGGTGGGGAGACGGCGCCTGAAATCCCACCATTCTAGTTCAGTTCCTTTGGCCTGACATTTATGGCCTCCATTATCCCTGCTCTAATCACATCCATGCAATTGTTTCCATTGCCAAACTGACTGGCTTCCCAGCCCCTCCTTCACACCACCCTGTTCAACTTTCCTGCCTCTCTGTCACAGTTCATGCCCTTGTATCCACCTGACAAACACTGATAATTTGCAACAGTAAATGCTCAACAGATGTCTGCCGAAAGAATACATTTCTTCAATACATTACTCTATGAATCTTCTTTTATTTTTTAAAGTTTTATTTACTTATTTTAGAGAGAGAGAAAGAGTGCACAAGCAGGAGGAGGGGCAGAGGGAGAGGGGAAGCAGACTCCATGCTGAGCAGGGGCTGGAAGCAGGTTAGATCTCATGACCCTGAGCCAAAACCAAGAGTCAGATACTTAAGCAACTGAGCCAGCCAGGCGCCCCTGAATCCTCTTTTATAATGTAAACATAACACACATATCAAGATAAAAACATGGACTTTGTACTATTTACTGTGATTGGGATGGGAGAAATTTTTTAAAAATATTTTACACATAGCACTTTCTCTTTTTTTTATTTTTTGCAAATGGATGGAGGGCGAGAATTACTTTTGTAATAATAATAATTAAAAACAAAACCATAAAACTCCTAGATGAAAAGATCAGGAGTAAGTTCCTTGGTGTTGGTAATGATTTTTGTTGGGGTGGGGGGAGTTTGACACCAAAAGCAAAAGAAACTGAAACAAAAATAAACAAGTGGGACTACATCAAACAAAATGAAAAAGGCAATCTACAGAATGAGAGAAAATATTTGCAAATTATGTATCTGATAAAAGGTTAATTTGCAAAATATGTAAAGAACTCACGCAACTCAATAAAAAATATTTTGTGATTTAAAAATGGACCGAAAACCTGCATAGATATTTTTCCAAAGAAGACAATCAAATGGCCAACAAGTAAATGAAAAGGTGCTCAATGTAACTAATCATCAGGAAGATGCAAATCAAAACCCCAATGAGATATTACTTCATACCTGTTATAATATAAAAGACAAGAAGAAACAAGAGTTGGCGAGGATGTGGAGAAAAGGAACCCTCTTACACCATTGGTGGGAGTGTAAATGGATGCAGCCACTGTGAAAAACAGTATGGAGATCCTCAAAAAATTGAAAATAGAACTTATCATATGATCTAGCAATTCCATTCCTGGGTACTTAACTGAAGAAAATGAAAACACTAATTCAAAAAAATATCTTTAAGGACATGCAATGTTCTTGCAGCATTATTTACAATACACAAGACATGGAAGCAACCTAAGCGTCCACCAAAAAATAAAGGGATAAAGAAAATGTGATTATACATATATATAATGAAATACTATTCAGTCATTTGAAAAATTATGTGTATATTGGAATACTATTCAGTCATCAAAAAGAAGGAAATCTTGCCATTTGTTACAACGTGTATGGAACTTGAGGGTCTTATACTAAGTGAAATAAGTCAGGCAGAGAAAGACAAATACTGTAGGATCTCACTTATATGCAGAATCTAAAAAAAAACACAAACGAACTCATAAATACAGAGAACAGATTAGTTCTGGTTGCCAGAGGCAGTTGGCTGTGGGCAAAACGGGTGAATGTGGCAATAAACAAACAAACAAAACAACTTTTGGGAGGTGTCATCCATTAAAACCCTCACATATGAACACATAAGGATGAAAGAGGATGAATTAGTGATGTTCTTCCTAGTGCAGAATTGGGTAAAACCAATTAGGCACTTTTGGGGAGGAGTCTGGGGAAATGCGAGAGGAGTAGTGGGAATTACAGGAGATGCACTTTCTTCTTTTTTTTTTTTTTTAATTTTATTATGTTATGTTAGTCACCGTACAATACATCATTGGTTTTTGATGTGATCCATGATCCATTGTTTTCGTATAACACCCAGGGCTCCATGCAGTACGTGCCCTCCTTAATACCCATCACAGGGCTAACCCATCCCCCCTCCCCCCTCCCCTCTAGAACCCTGTTTGTTTCTCAGAGTCCATAGTCTCTCATGGTTCATCTCTCCCTCCAATTCCCCCTCCCCATTTTTCCCTTCCTTCTCCTAATGTCCTCCATGTTATTCCTTATGTTCCACAAATAAGTGAAACCATATGATAATTGACTTTCTCTGCTTGACTTATTTCACTTAGCATAATCTCCTCCAGTCCCATCCATGTTGATGTAAAAGTTGGGTATTCATCTTTTCTGATGGCTGAGTAATATTCCATTGTATATATGGACCACATCTTCTTTATGCATTCATCTGTTGAAGGGCATCTCGGCTCTTTCCACAGTTTGGCTTTTGCGGACATTGCCGCTATGAACATTGGGGCGCATATGGCCCTATTGTTTCCATTGCCAAACTGACTGGCTTCCCAGCCCCTCCTTCACACCACCCTGTTCAACTTTCCTGCCTCTCTGTCACAGTTCATGCCCTTGTATCCACCTGACAAACACTGATAATTTGCAACAGTAAATGCTCAACAGATGTCTGCCGAAAGAATACATTTCTTCAATACATTACTCTATGAATCTTCTTTTATTTTTTAAAGCATTACTTTCTATTCTTTACAGCTAAGAAAGTGGTGGGTAGGGAAAGTGGATGGAGGGTAGTGTTTTTGGAAAACTTGTTAGCAGGCATCCCTGTTGAGCTGTAACTTCAAGGACATGCAATGCAACAATGCAACTACCCTTTATATGGAGGCTGTTTTTTAAAAATGTCTTTCAGGGGATGCGTGGGTGGCTCCGTCAGTTAAGCCTCTGCCTTCATCTCAGGTCATGATCCCAGGGTCCTGGGATTGAGTCCCACATCAGGCTCCCTGATGCTCTCCCCCTGCTTGTGCTCTCTCTGACAAATAGATAAAATCTTAAAAAAAAAAAAAAAAGTCTTTAGTCCACTCAAATCATCTCTTTAAAAACATTCACAAAGATCCTTTGAAGTTATTATTATTCATCTTACAGATGGGGAAACTGGCTAAGGAAGTTTAAGGTCACCCGGCTAGCGAGGCGAGTGGGGGCCACACCCTGACCCCCTGGCTCGGGAGGGCGTCAACTACCTAGACAAGGCAAACGGGAGGGCAGGATGAGAGGCACGACCGGCAGGCAGACCCACTAGGAAGCGAGAGCCCTGTGGTCTTTAGCCTGGCCAGTTGCTTTGGGGAAAGGGAAACAGTCTGCGGAAGGTGGAGTGGGCACGGGGAAGAGAACTCGGCGTCGGGGGGAGCCTCTATCTATGCTACGAGCCCTCTCTCGCGGAGTCCCTCCTTCCTGTTCCTCCCGGGCGCTGGAAACGCGGCGGAGCCTGGCCCCGCGCGGCCGCCGTAGAGTCGCCGTTGCCATGGCTCCCAGGGTCTGGTGCGGACGCGCAGAGGCGTGACTGGGAAGCGCGAAGGAAGACCTCAGGGTCCGGGTCTTGCTTCCCCCGCCCGCGAGCCGAAGCGGTGCCATGGGCCGGAGTAAGCGTCCCCTCCCACCTGCCACCCTCGATTGTCCCCCTTCCCGGCGTCGTCCCGGGTCCCAGGGGACACAGACCACCACCGCCCCTTCCCGGCCCGGGCACCCCGGCCCACCTGGGCCCTCCGCCCTCCGCAGGCCCGGCTGTGCCAGCCTCTCTGCCCACCAGCCCGGCGGGCAGCTTAGCTTCTGCGAGCCTCAGGTTCCTCATCTATAAAATGGGTGGGCGAGAAAGGCAAGCGACTTCATGATAGGGGCTGGTGGAAGGCGCAGGGCTTGGCGTCAGACGTGCCGGGTTCGGGCCGCCTGTCGCCCTGCTCGCCCTGTGGTCCTGGGCTAGTCGCTGTCAGAGCTGCAGCCTTCGCCCTCGGGGATGGCAGTGTACGCGGTGGTGGAGGGAGCCCGCTCGGGAGCCCGCCTCCTCCGCCTACCAGCCTGCAGACTTAGAGCCAGTGACTTCACCCGTCTGGGCCTAAACCTCATCTCCAAAAGAAAGGCAATGATAGTATTGTTTTACAAACCCGGCTAAGTGTTATCAAAGTGTTTGTTTACAAATACACCCACAATATGTGCAAAGTGATGGAATTAACATTTCTATTGGATTGAACCATTTGCCTACCAACACCGTTTCCGATCTTACTCTCGTTTGTGACAATTTTGTACAGTTCGGCCTAATTGCTCACTTACCATAAAAGTGTCATAATTAATATTTTTAAATCAAGAGACTGAGCTGGATGATGGGGTTTCTGCCCTGGAAGAGCTGATGGGTTGGTGGAAGGGGCAGGTGATTTGTAAATAGTAAAAGCCCCATTCCTAAACCACTTACTGGTATTCCCTCTTCTCTAAAGCAATAGACAAAAAAATTAGACCAACAGCAGTAAAATTAAAGGCAAACTTTGTTTCCCACCCATGTCATCCTTAGATATTACAAAAGAAAAATGAAAACCTTTGTCCACACAGACTTTGTGTATGAACATTTATAGCATATGCTTTCATAGTAGCTAAAAAAAGGGAAACAATCCACATATCCGTCAACATTTGTTAATGGATTAACCAGTTGTGAGCTGGACATGGCATGATTCCATTTATTACCTGGCCCCCAACATGTCCCCACTCTGATAAGAACACTTGGCAATGCTTTGTGTTTCCAGATGTTAATGACAACTCAAATCCTGTGTCCAGCAGGCGACAATGTGATTTGGTATTCCCCCTTCCCCAGTGTATTGTTATTCAAATAAATGGCCAGCAATCCTTTTGGAAAGGATTGGATCAATCATTGCCATGTACTCTTGGGGACCCTGCCTCTCTTTTAGTCAGTGGGTTGTCAGATAAAAATACAGGCCACCCAGTATTTTTATTTGCTAAATATGGAAACCCTAGTTTCAGGTCCAAAAACTGACTGAGGTCTGGAAACTAGGCAAGAGATTGTGAATTTTTATTGAGCCAATTGTCCTTAGCCTTCCGGTCATCAATCCTTGTTGTAGTTTGATCACACAGATGGCATAGTGCCTTTGTTGGCTGCTCGTCTGTATTGTTCTTAGGAATGTCATGTTCTGTTCTCCATCCCCATAGCCCTCCATGGATGTGGACCACTGGCCACCACTCCAACCTTGTCCCTCATTATGGCATCTGTCCACCTAACTTCTAAAGTTAAATGTCCCTACTTGGCCTTCATTGTTTCAAGAGTCTGTCATCCCAGTTTCTATCAATTAGCCCACGTCTAGAACAACATCTCCCCTGATTAGCCTTGGCCTTGTATTCGTCTGGTTTGGGACTCAGGTTAAAGCTGGCCTTGTAGAATTATCTCAGGAAGTATTCTTAAATTTTCTTAAATTCTTAAATTCTCTTAAATTTTATAGAAGCGTTTGTGTACAGTGGGTATTATTTTTCCTTAAATGTTTGGTGGCATTTATCAGTGAAGACATCTGTGCTATGGTTTCTTTGTGGGAAGGTTTGAGTTACGTATTCAATTACTGTAGTAGATACAGGGTTGTGTGGTTTATCTGTGTCTTCCCACGTGAGCTTTGGTAGTTTGTGACTTTTAAGGAGTTTTCCCATTTAATCTAAGTTCTTGAACTTATTAGCATGAAGTTCTTACTAGCCTTTTAATACTATATAATCTATATGATGTTGTGCTTTCATTCCCAATAATGGCAATTTATGTCTTTTCTTTTTTCACTGATCGGTTCGACTAGAAGTTTACCAATTTTATTTTTTAAAGCATTTTTATCGACTTTTCTCAATTGTTTCTGTTTCCATTTCATTGAGTTTGGGTACAATCTTTGTTATTTACCTTCTTCTGCTTACTTTGGGTTTAATTTATTCTTTTTCTAGTTTCTTAAGGAAGAAGCTGATGTTTGAGACCTTTTTCCTTTCTTTAGGCATTTAGTGCTGTAAAATTTCCTCCAACTTATGTTTTAGCCATATCCCACACATTTTGATATGGCTTTTCATTTTTTGTTCTGTTCAAAATACTTTATCTCCCTTTGGATTTCCTAATGCCCAGTTTTGTTCTGTTTGTTTGTTTTTTATGTTTTTTTTTTTTCATGTATTCTGGATTTTAGTTGTTTTAGGCTGGAGGTTCAATCTTGACCCTATGACTCCATCATGTCTGGAACCTGAAGTCCCTCCTCCTCTTGTGATTAAGTGCTGGTCCTGGTTCTCTGCCCTTTCTACCCTCTGGTTTCAGGAAGCAAACCTCTTTAGATGCTGCCAGTGTGGTACTCTGGCCTTTTTTAATGTCCAACTAATCACACCCAGGCTTTCTTTATCCAGCAGCAGCCACCCAATGCAACTGTCCTTTAAGTTTTCAAGTTACGATTTCCCCCATATTTCTCTACTACCTGATGTGTCATGTCACACTTACTAGTGCATTCCCTTCCATTAGTATCCTATTTGCTATAGGTTGAATGTTTGTGTTCCCCAAAATTCATATGCTAAAATCTCTTTCTTTCTCTTTTCTTTTTTCTTTTCTTTTCCTCTCTCTCTCTCTTCCCCTTTCTTTCTTTCTTTCTTTCTTTCTTTCTTTCTTTCTTTCTTTCTTTCCTTCCCTCCTTCCTTCCTTCCTTCCTTCCTTCAGAGAGGATGGGGAGGAGGGGCAGAGGAAGAGGGAGAGAGAGAATCTTAAGCAGACACCACCCCCAGCAAGGAGCCCAACAGGGGGCTCAATCTCACAACCCTGAGATCATGACCTGAGCTGAAACCAAGAGTCAGGTGTTTAACTGACTGAGCCACCCAGGCACCCCTCCTATGTTGAAATCCTAACCCTCAAAGTGGGGGTGGGCCTTTGGGAAGTGATTAGGTCATGAAGGGGGAGCCCTCATGATTGGGATTATTGCCCTTCTGAAAGAGGCCCCAGAGACCTAGCTTGCTCCTTCTACCATGTGAGATTCCCATCAGTGGGGAAGCAGGCTCTCCCCAGACACCAAATCTGCCCGTGCCATGATCTTGGACTTCCAGCCTCCAGAACTGTGAGAAATAAATGTTTCTTGTTTGTAACCCACCTACTTTATGGTATTTGTGTTATGGTATTCCAGATGGATTGACACTGTTCTCTTTGCAACACAAGTGCAAGTGTTAAACATCCCACAGCCACCTTGTGCCGGACACTATCTGTGCTCCACCTCCCTCCAGTGGTGGTGTCCCCATTGCACCTCAGGCAGCAGACTCCGACTCCAGAAGCCCATCTTGGTTAGCATCTGCCTTCACGTACCACTTCTGGTATCCACTCTTCCAGGTTGGGTTCCCCAGGAAGCAGACTTTTTGATGGAGATTAGCATGCCTGAGGTTCATTAGGGAGTGTTAGTGGAGTGGGTAGGGAAGGCAGCAAGACTGGACAGGAAGGATGTTGGGCTGTGATGGGTTTTAACAAAGGATGTAGCTAACCAACCTGGAAACTTTGAAGGACCTCTAAACTGGGAATGGACCTTTCGATTTTCCCAAGCTGAGGTGAGAGGGCTGGGCCATTAGGGCCCCCAACAGCCAGTCATTGGATATGGGCTTCCCTGGGAAGGGGCACGATGTCGGTTGAGGTGTCTCTTCAGCCAAGTGATTTATGAAGAAGGTGGGCAACTGTGGGCAGTCTGCTGGCACAACTCCCAGCAGCTAGAAGAACTGATCATTCAGTTTTGAAGGAGGGAACTGGGCAACACAGCATCTACCATAGGCTGGAGCACCCGTTCCTCATCTGTTTATTGGGCAAATACCTACTCACATTTCAAAACTCAGGTCAGGCTTCTTCTCCACGATGCCTCTTTTGACCTCCCTCCTGTCACTCAGTAACACTGGTCACTCCCCACTCCTTGTTCTCTCTGTGTTCATCACTGCCCCATAACCCTTCACTCATGTTCTTTAATAGCACTCTCTACGTGAATCACTGGATTGGGTCTAGTATGGCTAGCAGTGCTTGTTATGATGACCCCGAGTCAGTCACAAAAGGCAGGGCAAACGAGTAATTCTGTTTTTAAAAGTGTCCATTGAAAACAATTAAAAAAAAGTGTAAATGCTACAAGAGGTGACCTTCTCCTATTTGTCACCCCTTCATCTCTGTTACATTTCTGTTTCATAGATGTATCTGCTAGGTGTTTCAGGATGTTTACAAATTCCGCTGAAATCTGCCCTAAACATATACTATCGATTTTATTCTAATCCAGTGAGATATAGAGGGCTATTTACAAAACATAGTGTAAAGCCTGAATGAATGAACACTTCGTTATTGGCCTTGGGAGTTTCTAGAACTTTGCTCAACACACTGAAAAGCTTCGTAGAAACAAACACGGCCTGACAACTGCCAGTATTCCAGAAACCTTCTCCTTCTGCCCTTTGCCTCACCCCTACCCCAAAGAGTCATTTTATTGACATTCCCTCAAGTTATTGAAAACCCAGTCATCCCACTTCATTGAAAAGAAGTGTAGGCTGGCCGGTGAGTCATGGTTAAAACTTTGGATTCCTCGGCAGCTTTCCATTAGTGAGATAAGTCTGAATCTGTGTTTAAACTGTCAGTGTTCTTCTCAGCCCCTACTGCTCCACTCATGCAGGTCTTGGCAACTGTTGACCCTCCTCTCCTGTGTGTGTGTGTGTGTGCGCGCGCGCGCAAATTAGCTATTCATGCAAAGGGAGTTTCCTCTACCCCCATCCCTTTCAACTGATAGTGATTTTTATCATCTTAATTCTCGTGGTTAGGAGATTCAGATCGTCGTAATTCCTTCCTAATATCTACATGCCTCTGAAAGGGAGGAGTTGACAATTGCATGGAAGTGATCAAATTCACACAGGAAATAGCATTGTGAAAAGGGTTTCTTAATTTTAAGAAAGGTGTAGCAAGAGAACATGGGAAGGATATTTGGTATCTGGAGAGGAACCCGCGGGTCTTTAGGGTTGGACAAATCGGAAAATCCTCTAAGAGTGTAAGAGCTGGAGTGGCCCATGATCGCTTTAGTGTTCCAAGGCCCGGGCCGGCCCCGGTGGGTTGTACAGATGCTGACGTAGCCATCCCAGGCCGGACACTGTGGTGCTTTAACAAGACACTTTCAGAATTCCTCTGAACACATTGGACTGAACCATACTTACAGATGACAGCTACTGTGGGATCCAACTTGGGTTTATATCTTCAATATGAATGTTCCACTAAGCCTTCCAGGGTGACCCACGGAAAGAATATAATGGACGCTCATGTGTCAAGTTATAATCAAACTGCCAGATAAAATGCATTTTCCTCTCTTGACAAGAGTATCTTTATAACAACCCAGAAGGCTACATTTAATACGTTTCTCAAACTCCTTGGGTTCTGTGCCAGAGCTGGGGAGGAGGGGGACGTATGGGAAGAGCTGGCTCCCCGGCCTACCCCTCCCTTCTCTTCCCATCCCTGGCTCTATCCTGGTCCCTCAAGCCCCTGTATAAAGGCGGATACTCCAGCCTACATATCCATCCACATGGATGGATCTCCAGAAAAGAGCTGCTCCTTGGACACTCCAGGGGGTAGGGATGTCTTCAGGAATGAACCTTGAGAAGTGGCCAGTGTAGGGCTTGGAGGCAGGCTTGGGGCCCCTTGGGCAGAGAATTCTATTGTTCTACCTGGGACATGTTCTGGAGGGAAGGGCATGGGCTCTGGATGGGCACATCCTCCTGGTCCCTTTGACTCCAGGTCTGATGGCAGCAAGGCCTCCAAAACCTAGCCCCCTGCTCTGTGGATGGATATAGTTCAAGTTACATATACCCCACTGGTCACTGAGGGTCTTATTCATAGTAGTGAATAATTCCCACATTTCATTAGGGTAGCTGAAATAACATTGGTTGTGCCATCCCAAGCCCTCGATCCCTGTTGGCATCCTTACTAAGAGAATTCTTGTAGCTGATTAGAGACAGCTAATACATTTGACTTTACACAGCAGCTTTGCTGTGTCCTCAACTTGGCTGCACCCATATATTCATTATCAGTTGATTTTAGCTGTTAGAACCAACTTTGGTTTGGTAGTGGGATGTGTGGAGAGTAGTTTTAATGCCCAAACCGGGTTTGGTTTTTGGAAAGTCCTTTTCTGCTTAAACCAGCTTGCCTACTAGCTGTGGCCTCCAGAGACAGCAGAGAGCTGTAAGCGGCAGGGACCCCAGTGAGCTGGGGCTGGCAGGACTGCCCTGTTAGCCCCCTTCCCTGCTGCCTCTTTGGCCTGCCCCTCCCCAGGACCTGACATGCAGCCAGCTCTGCCGGCGAGTTGAGGCAAAGCTTAGAACCGCAGGGAAATTCCCCAGGTACAGTATTTTAATCTCTGGACATTTACATTTCCCCTGTCTTTCTTCCAAACAACTGTCATGGCAAGCAACCCCACCTCCTTCTACCAGAAATAGCAGGGGTTCAGCTAACTGCATACAACTGATCGAGTTCGAACCTGTTTTCACATTGTTTTTAAAAAGGCCAAGTCGCCTTTTCAGGATGTGGCATGGAAGTAGGGCAGCCGAGGGGACTCCAGAAGAACCGGAGAACTCTGTCTCAGCTAGAGGGGTCTGTACCATTGAGGAGGCCTGAGACGTCTTGAGAGGCTCTTCCTTGCTCCTGTTTGGGGCGGTGTAGCTTAGTGGCTAAGAGTCCACGGTCGACGCCAGACCCCTACACTCACAACCCGGCTCTGGCACTTACCACCAAGACCTTGGGCAAGTTATTTAAACTCTCTGTGCCTCAATCCCTCATCTGCCAAGTGTAAATACTCATATGCGAACACACGCAAAGCATTTCGGACAGTGCCTGGCACTTTGTAAGCGGCAATAAATAAATCTTTATTGTCTCTTGGGCTGGACATGCAACGTTCCACTGTCCACCTAAAATGTGGATGTTAAAATGGATTATTGATGTTTTTATTTATTTTTAAAGATTTTATTTATTTATTTGACAGAGAGAGAGAGATAGCGAGAGCAGGAACACAAGCAGGGGGAGTGGGAGAGGGAGAAGCAGGCTTCCCGCCAAGCAGGGAGCCCGATGTGGGGCTCCATCCCAGGACCCTGGGACCATGACCTGAGCCGAAGGCAGACACTTAACGACTGAGCCACCCAGGTGCCCTTTTATTGATGTTTTTAATAGCACTGGAACACACAAAGGTTTGTCCATTGTCATCACGTCTTTACCTTGAGTGTGTCTCATGAAGGGGATTCCTGTCTTGCTCTTGGATCCAGCCTTGGACCAGGGCATTGTCTCCAGCCCCTTGGTATCCCCGTAACAGGGCAGCCCCCCATGCTGCAGGGCACTCCTGTCAGCGGGCCAGGGACTCTCCTCACCCTCCTCCTGTGAGCGGCTCCTTTTCTTCCTCCCAGAAACAGACCGCAGGGTAGCTGCCGTGTAAGATTGCAATGCAACATCTAGGGTGCGCCTCTCTTTTCTCTTCAACTTTAGTAAAATTGATAAATGTCAGTTGAATGAATGGACCTTTCCTTACTGAAATGGTGGGAGATGCTTTCCTGGTTTTACCCTCTGGCAGCCAGACCATGCCTCTCAGTCTGAGTCGCCCTGTCTTGGTCTGTTTAGTGGGTCTCATCCAGTTCAACCTGATACCACCATGGGATTCCATATCAACATTCTCACGGTCATTACCCTCCCACTCTGCCCCTGTCCAGACAGCAAAATGTAGGTAGACCCTGTGCAAAAAAAAGACAAAAAGCTCTCTGACTCATCACGGTGTCACCAGCAGGAGGCAGCACCTCTCTGCTCTCTTCCCTTTTGAAAATCACTGGGGCCTGGAGGACTGACATCAAACTGGGAAGAAAAACCAATGCATTCCTAATGTAATAACCTGATGATGAGCACAGGGATGGAGATGTAATACGTAACAAATTTTCTTTCAGTCACAGAAGATCTTATTAGACGGAATGCTGAACACAATGACTGTGTAATTTTTTCCCTGGAGGAACTCTCCTTGCATCAGCAAGAAATAGAAAGGCTAGAACACATTGACAAATGGTGCCGGGATTTAAAAATCCTCTATCTTCAAAATAACCTCATTGGAAAAATTGGTGAGTCTTCAGGATTTTGTGCTCATGGTTTCTTTGACATTTTGAATGGGAGAACTTTGGGGAGGGCGGTGTGATTCTTAGAGGAAGACAACACGGATGAAAAAGAGCCATACAGGGGAAATAGACAAGACCGGCTCCCAGGAGCTGTGCGTGGACCCTCTCCCGGGGCTCCCGCAGACGCCATCGAGGAGTTGCAAGGGACCCTTAAAGGTGGGAGCATACTTGTTGACCTGCTCATTTATAGCCTGGTTTTGTCTAAGTTTGAAAGGAGAATAGAATCCAGGCGTTCGTCATAGTTTTGCATCACTCCGTAGAACTGAAAGGGTTGTGTGCAAGTTGAGTAAACCCTCGGCAGATTCCCTGGGGTGGCTGATTCTGCCATGGTTATGGAGAACGTGGATGTGCAAGGCATTATTCTCTGTATTGGCCATCAGAGGGGTTCCACAACTACACCCCTGCTCACTGCTCCAGTTTGGAATGGAATGAGAAATAGATCAAAACATCAGCATTATAACTGACAAAACCTTTTGGAGAAGGTGGCTTAGCCTTGCAGCCAAGCGGGCTTCCTAACTGCCCTCAAGTTCCATCTGTCCACCTGGTCTCATGCAGGCTGGGCAGTACGTGGGCCTTGCATAGGGGACGAAAGTGCGTACTCTTTGCTGGCAGGGAGACCCCAGAAGCCAGGAGCGTGGGGGGACTGGCCATGCCCAGTTCCTTCTCCCAGTTCATCCATCAGCTAGGTGGGCCTGCCCCACAATCCCCTGGGGAAGAAAGAGTTAAGTGGCAGAGAGAAGGGAGGGCTGTGGAGTCACTCCGAGGGGGTCCTGCCACCCATAAACAGGAGCGCCCCCCACACTCAGAAGAGCAACCTATAGTTTAGTGGCAAGAAGAGGCACAGGTCCTGATGGGCTTGGTCCCTCCCTCAGCCACTGAAAATTGTGTGAAATTAGGTCAGGTCACTTAGTCTTGCCGTGTATACACCAGGGACTGCATGAACCAGTCACTCAGATGCTAGCTGCTACCATTGCTGTTGAAGTTGTCATTTACCAGGCTAGCCATGTGGAGGTAGGGGCGGGGGTGGGGGAAAAGGGATGCTTAGGGTCCACAAGGCAGAAGGAGTGCCAACCTCTGTGGGCCGTGGCGCCGGAGCCAGAGGTCGGCTCTTAGGTTACGTTTGAACTTGCCCTCGAGATGTGCCGTGGTTCTCAACAGGGGTGTTTGGCAACCTCTGGAGACGGTTTTGGTTGTGACAAGTGTGTGCGGGGGAGGGGGACACCACTACCACGTATGGTGCACAGAGCCATCGCTAACCATCCTGCAGTGCACGGGACGGCCCCACAAGAAAGAACCCCCCGGCCCACAACATTAGTATCCCTGAGGGTGAGAAACCCTGCTGAGGTGGTTGCCCCTGGTTTGGTGGATAATTGAAAATTGGTCCTCGGGTTGCAAAAAGCCTAGATTTTGCATTATTTTTCTTTTTTGAAGATTTATTACAATTCTTTATGTTTCTTCAGATAATTATTTTCAACATCTTTCACTTTACCAGAAATTAGAAACTCTGGCACATTGTTCAATTAAAAAGGCTGTTACAGAAAACCACCAGCTTTTATGCAGGGGGCATTAACGAGCCGTCCTAATTGTACAGATCTAAAAGAGTTCCCGAAATTTTAATCTCCACAGCTGGGTCCGTCACAATTACTAATTAGTAGCATAGTATTTCAGGCCTTTTCAGAGCTGTGAGAAAGCTTAAATTTTTGCTTCCAAAGTATTCTTAAATTAAACACTCTTTTAAATCCTAATAATGGGATTTTTCAGTGCTGCTCCACCCATAGGCATGTAGGCGCTTATTTAGCAAGCAAAAGTATTTCTCTAGGATTCTCACTTGCTCTGGTGCCATTGAGGTAGAAGTTTGCAGAACAGTCGCCTCTCCTAAAGCTCTGGTCCTCACTGGGAGATACAGACGGGCTCGGGGCGGGGCTGTGCCGAGTGTTGATCCAAGTGTGAGTTGAGGACCTTCCAGGGTCTTGTTAAAGTGGGGTTCTAGCCCCATCCCAGACCTACTGACTGAACCTGTGAGGGTGGGCTCCCCAAATCTGCATTTGTAACAGCTTCCCAGTGAGCCCAGGGCCTAAAGGTAAGAGCGGAGCCGCTTGCTCTGGGGGATGGCTTTGGTCCACCACAGGTCTGTCGGTCTGGTGATAGCAACTGGGGAGAACTGCTTCCGGGCCGGTTTGGGCTAGAACCATGGTTTTGCGGACTCCCTTCCTGCTGTCCAAGAGGCGCTGCACATTTTTATCCATAGAGCCATTTTTTTTTTCCCCTGACCAATTTGGCTCATTATTCTTGAGGGATAATTTAAGAAATCCTTCCCAAACAATTTTTTTTTTCCTACCAGAAGACTCTTTTCACATTTAGAGGGCTATACATATAACAAATGTGGGGAAGGAACAAGTCTTTTATTGTAGGCTGGCAATTTTAATGATAATAACATAAAAATGTAGGTATTTTTGTTCGGGATACAGATTGCACACTCTGTTGGTCATAATCCTGGGCACATAGAGTTCCACAAATCTGCTGACTATTGAATGCTCAGGTGTTGCCTGGAGAACCTTCTAGAAACATCAGTATTACTTAAAATCATCTAATTGCTGAGAGAAACGTTAGTAATTTATTCTAAAATCCTCATTTTAAAAAATGAGTCAGCTGAGGCCCACAGAGGTGTTATTCTTAGGTCTACATGAACAAGTACATGGTATTATCTAAATTTTAAATGAAATGTGACGATCGTAAGGGTGATGATGACCATAAGCCATCACGTTTGATCTTCCTCATATCCATGGAAAATGGGCAGAAGGAGCATTTATTTAAGTGAGGAGTCCCCTCCATGCACATTCCCTAGCAGGGTTCCCCACGTTCATGTCCTCTTAGAAAGGACTGTTCTTTTAGTGTAACAATTCAGTGCCAAGATCTGGACTCAAATTTCCTGGCTTCACCATTACTCTTCAACAAATGGATTAAGTCTCTGCACATTGGTATTCTTATTTATAAAAGGGAGCCAACAGTAATTTTTACCTCTTAGGGTTATTATGAGGATGAAATGATATCATATATGCAAAATGCCTAGGAAAGTACATGGCAGATAATAAGTCCTTGACAATATTAACTATGGTAATTTTAGCATTTTTAAATGTCCCCATCCTACAGCAATTCTCTGACTCATATATGCTTATTGTTTTGCCTCTCTGAGCTTCCATATTTATTAAAAACAATAATCCTGTGTGTAGCAGGGCGAGCTTGATTTCAAGTAAAGGAAAACCCAACTTAGTGTAGCTTGTGCAACTGTAAGTCTAGAGACAGCGCAGGCTCCAGGGTTGAGTGATTCCTTCTTTCTGCTCCACCGGTCCCAGTGTGGGCTCCATCCTACAGCCGGTTTCGTCATGGCTGCGGGATGACTCTGGTAGCAATCAGAATATCACTTTCTTCCCTTTTCACATCTAGCAGGAGAAAGAAAGAGGCAGTCCCCCAGCATGGAATATAGATCTTTGCCTCTCCTCTGACTGGGAGCAGTTGATGTGCAAGTCCACTCCTCCATCACATAGCTGCTAGGAGATGGCCATGGGCTAGTTGGCTGAAGCCTAGGTTCCTGAGCTGTCCTTAGCAAGGGACCTGCTATTGCTATGCACTGGCCCAGCTTGGTTAAGTCAAACTCCCTGGAGTCAGAGCTGGCTAGAGACAAGAGCAGAAGTGGTTTCTATTAGGAAGGATGGAGGAAGAAATGAGGCTGCATTTGGCAACCAAGGATGTCTAATGTCCAGGTATAGACATGAAAAAGCAACATGGTTTTGATAACCATACTAACGCTTAGATTCTCATTATAATTTTCACAGCAGATTATGTAAAAATAGCTTTTATCTTGAAGGTTAATTAATTACATTTTTTTATATTTCAGAAAATGTTAGCAAACTCAAGAGACTTGAATATTTGAATTTAGCTTTAAACAACATCGAAAAAATTGAAAATTTGGAAGGTAAGAATTTCCTTCTTATATTTTATTATGTATTAAAATTGAGACTTGCAACTAAATTTAAACAGTATCACTTAAACAATAGGCACACTTTTCAAGTTAGCATTTTACCTAAGTCTTATGTTTATTAATTATTGTGATAAAAATTCAAACAGTAACGAGGTACATAAATTTGAAAATGGAAGTCCACTTCACCTCCTCCTAAAACAGCTTCCTTCCCAGGGATAGTAGGTAGTTTTGTTTCATTTGCTTTGTATCAGTGGGATCATACAATGAGTATTCTTTTGAAAATTGATTTCTTCTATGAAATTACCTTGTTCTTTGCTATCCAGGAAATGTGGGGACTCTCTACCAGAATGGTGGTACACTGATTTATCTCCCAGTTTTTCTGCAGATGGACATTTGGGTCATTTCCAGCATTTTGCTATAATAAGCATGGCCACAATGAGGATTCTTTTACATTGCACTGTGTGTATGTGTACATTTTTTTATAGGACAAACACTTAGACATGGAATTCCCGGGTTTAAATATGCACCTTTTGAAAAATATTGCCAAATTGTTCACCAAAAAGGTTGTATCAATTTACTTTTGTACTGGTAGTCCACGTGAGTCCACATTTTTACACCAGCTCACTAATATTTTTTATAAGGAATCTTTTTTAAAAAATGGGAAAGCATTGTTATCAAATAATTTTTTAAATTCGCATCTCACTTACTATTATTGAAAGTCAGTATAACCCCTTCCAATTTTTACTGAGTATTTGTTTTTCTTTTTTTTTTTTT